TAGACGTGCAATGGACTAGACATTTCTAGCTGCTGTTGGCGTTATTTGCTCTGAACTTTGATGTCGCTAACGGAAGACTGTCTGTGATTTGCTAGCGCGGAAGAAATTTATTTGCGTGGCTTCCGGTCAGTAATTGACGCAGCGACAACATGTTGAGTGCCTAGTTTGTTTGAAGTTCAATCGATTCTCGATGTAGGAAGCTCTTGTTCAGTCCATTTAGGACGATGCAGGCCTTTAGAAAGCTATAGATCAACTCTCCGCCGCAGTTTTGATCTCTGTAAGTTCGTGTTGATTTAGACTCCAATTTCATATCAAAAGCACTCTTAATTAAATTGTACAACGCATGATTCAACGGAAAGACAGTGAATTTAGTCTTACTGGCCTCAAAAGGCATAAAGGCAGAGTTATTTCCTTTTATTTGAGCAACGATAAGCCTTGTGAAAAGCTAGCTCTAGGACAGAATTGTATCAAAATTATTAGTGACAAGTCAAATTCTGTGGCTATGTTTTTGCGAATCCAGACAGAATTATTGAAATTGAACGTCACGTAAGAGCTGCTTTTTCGCTGCAATATAGAAATAAATGACCGATGTGAGTACTTTCCATGCTCTTGTCGAAATGATTGGCTAATTTAACCCACAGTAAAGACATAGTGAGGTCATTTAGGTGAGTCGCAGAGGTGAAACATGCCGCAAGTCAAATGATCAATTTAACCTTTAAATTCTAAAACAAGATTGATAAACAGTGCCTAAGCACTTCAAAATCTCAGGGAGTACCGCGTGGCGAGTTAATTTTTTACATTTCCTGCTGGGATAGCTTTTGATAACAATCGCCATATTGTAGTGGTGGACAGTAATAACCACCGAGTGCAAGTTTTTAATGAGCGGGGTGAGTTCCTGAACCGGTTTGGTGGTAGAGGAAGTCTTGATCACCAACTTCAGGATCCTTATGGTTTATAGCGGGAGAATGCCATTTTTCTTGGCGGGATTTTTAAAGAAAAACGATAGCGGAGGTTGATTTAATATT